GAGAGCCAGCTCTAAAAAGGTGTGGGAGGAGAACAAGCGAAATACGCGTTATAGAGTTAGAATTATGTCTTCCTGCTACAGTTAAAACCGGGGTGCACATTCAGCTGAATGTGCATCAAAGGTTATCCCTTGACTGAGTGGGTTACGAGGTGTGCTTTCAACCCCTTCAAGTCGAAATTCGTTTCCCCCCTCCCCCGCAATTTCGTTTCCCCACGCCCCCGCAATTTCGTTTCCCCCCTCCCCTGCAATTTCGTTTCCCCCCCCTCCCGCCAATCTGTTTCATCCCTCCCGCCATTCGGTTTCACCCACTCCCGCCATTTCACCCCCTCCCGCCACCTACGAAATGCCCGAAGCTCTAGCGGAATCATTTTTTTGTCGCCCCTCGTGAGCCAATCACTGTTTTTCTCCAAACCCCCTTCCCAACATCTCAAGCCGAACCGCGTTGAATGTGCACCCTGGTTTTAAAGTTTTGAAAGGAAATGCTCCTTCAAGAATCAATGTCAAGATTGTCTGGGGTTTCCTGGGTCTATCCAGAATGCTCGAAATCGTAAGTTGCCAGGTCATCAGGTACTATCGAAGCATGCTGATGTGGCTGCTAGTACTCTGCGTAAACCATGTCACAAGTGCCATCCGACACCTGTCGGCTCCGAAGGGGGCCACATCGTCATCATACCGCCTCATCAAGCAACAGGCTCGTGGCGGCTGCTGGTAGCCTCGAATCAGCAACGTCGCACGGCTGTCGCTGAAAATTCTCGCAGGCTATGACCAATCACAGCACATTCGCCGTCGTCAGTACATCACCGCAAATCTCGATCTCCCGCAGCCAATCAACTCTGCTCCTCCCCAACCCAAATCTCAAATCCCCCCGTTTGCCCTTGCTTGTCATTCTTCAGACTTGAGGCTTCAGACTTCAGACTTCAGGCCCTGAACCACTGCAGACTTTCTTCCTGACTTTGTGGCCTGAATTAGTTGCTAGAATAATAAAGATGTCTCTAAGAGGTTATTTCGTCAGGCAGCACAATTGCAAGTTTCGCATAGGCTCGTGAATCTGGGAGGTCAAGCTGACAATTGCCTTAGATATATTTGTTGTAGCGACTGTCAGTGGTCTTCGGAACCGTTGCTGCTGTAGTATTTTATGATATCGTGCTCCTCATTAGCTACTAGCATTTTTCGTTTCACGCCGCTTCTGAGCGGTCTCCTATACTTAATTCCTCGCTCCATACAGCTACTCGCTGCAATTTGAAAGTGCCAGTCAGCGCCAGTCAGCTTCAGTCAACTTTCGTCAGTGCTCCGCGTCAAACAACCATGTATGTACCTGTTGCAGCCTCCGTTTCTGTTCGCAACTCGCCTCTGGTCCATCCGCCAACCAACCGCATTTGCCTCGCTCCATCTCCTGGATCCTCTTCCGAACCTTCGCTAGAAGACAGGCAAGGCAGAGCACGCCTCAGCTGTCAGCTACAGGGAAATGCCGGAAACTCCGGCAGAGAAGTTTCCGGAAGAATCTGTTTGTGGAATGGCAAGGCGGCTCATTGCACTGAATCTGATTACTCAAGGAGGGTAAGAAGCGGCTCGAGAAGTAATGGGAGAACTGGCATGAGAAGCAGTATGTGGTCGGAAGGGTTCAGAGACGAGTGGACAGGCGGATCCTTCTCTTCCAGTAAGGCGTTACATTCAGCAGCGTTCAGTGGTGGGACTAAGAGCGTGAACCGTCACGATACTTCTCGGGTTGTTATGTCGGCATCGGAAGCTTCCAGTCAGGCCGCAACGACTCAGGTCAGTCTCATCTTCGAAAGATTCATGAGTATCTATAACCTATATGGTCCCAAATTGTTGCACTCTTATGGCCAAATAACGTCTCACCATTGTGGTATTGACAAGGTTGGTTGACATGTCGTGCAAAAGCCGAAAACACCGATTCCGAAATTTCAGTGGCTGAGCGATCGAGACCCTCGGCAAAGTTGCTCCGATATTAGCTCAGAACGAACAAAAGCAAAGTAAGCCTCGTGCGGTGTATCCTAAACCCTCTCTCTTTCGGTCGACGCTAGACCTGTTGCTCATTCTAGCACTCGTCCTTCGTCAAACCTCTCTACTCCACTTACATCCATCCTCCTTTCGCAGCGGCAAAACGAATCAAGGGATTTGCGGCATACCCAACAACAAGAGCAACTATCGCAACAGCAAAGACAGCAACCACAGCACGAGCAACCGTGGAACCAGCAGCAGCAGCAGGAGCAGGAGCAGGCAGAGCAAGGGACGAAGGCGTCGTACGGGAAGAAAGCGGGACAAGGGAAGACCCAACAGTCGCAGGCGCAATGGCAAGCAGCGATCAGCAAGTCAGGCGTGAAATCAGCCGCAGCACCCATGGGAACCGAGCGGCACCTAGCCACAGCCATGCTGTTCCTCGTAGCCCTATCCGTGTGCCTCTGGCTGGACGTGAAAACCGCAACGGACCTGCTTGTATCGGGTACGCGGGCGTTCGTGCAGCTGACAGCCGTTGGATTGGGACTCAAGTACATCTTCACCGTTGATAGCGCGCATCCCGTTTTTATTGCCGTGGCAGTCATGGTAAGAGCCCATGCAAGGGGGGTGAATGACCACCGGGGGGAATGAATGGGGGGGCCGAATGAATGGGGGGGGGAGAAATGAATGTGGGAGGGAACGAATGCGGGGGGGATGAATTTCGGAGAGAATGAATGGGGGTGGGAATGAATGGGGGTGGGAATGAATGGGGGTGGGAATGAATGTGGGGGGGAATGAATGTGGGGGGGGGGGGGGAATGAATTGGGGGGGGAATGAATGGGGGGGCGGAATGAATGGGGGGGGAGAAATGAATGTGGGGGGAAATGAATGTGGGGGGAAATGAATGTGGGGGGGAACGAATGCGGGGGGGGATGAATTTCGGAGAGAATGAATGGGGGGGGGGGAATGAATGGGGGGGGGAATGAATGTGGGGGGGGGGGATGAATGGGGGGGGGAATGAATGTGGGGGGGGGAATGAATGGGGGGGGAATGAATGTGGGGGGGGGAATGAATGGGGGGGGGAATGAATGTGGGGGGGGGGAATGAATGGGGGGGGGAATGAATGTGGGGGGGGGAATCAATGGGGGGGGGGAATGAATGGGGGGGCCGAATGAATGGGGGGGGGAGAAATGAATGTGGGGGGAAATGAATGTGGGGGGGAACGAATGCTTTGGGGGATGAATTTCGGAGAGAATGAATGGGGTGGGAATGAATGTGGGGGGGAAATGAATGTGGGGGGGAATGGATGTGGGGGGGAATGGATGTGGGGGGGAATGGATGTGGGGGGGAATGAATGTGGGGCGGGGATGAATGTGGGGTGGGATGAATGTGGGGTGGGATGAATGTGGGGTGGGATGAATGTGGGGTGGGATGAATGTGGGGTGGGATGAATGTGGGGGGGAATGGATGTGGGGGGGAATGAATGTGGGGTGGGATGAATGTGGGGTGGGATGAATGTGGGGGGGGAAATGAAAGTTGGAGAAAAGTGAAGGGTGTAGGAAATAAATTTCAGAAATTGAATGTGGAAACGCGGATTGTTTGGTTGGATCCCCAAAGCTCAAGCATGACACTTCTATCTTACCGAAAACCAGGCTTCTCCCCTCCCCCCATCTCCGCACCACCACCACGTTTCTCCTTCCTCCTCCACTTCCCTGCTCCCTTCCCCTTACCTCCTCCCCGCCTCCTCATCCTTGCATATACCCCTTCGCCTTCACCCCCCACCCCCTCCCTCTCCCCTCTCCCCTCCCCCCCACCCACCGAACGTCTCTCTTCCTCAACCCGTTTTCTCATTCCCTCACTTCCAGCCTTCCTTTCTCTGGCCGTTCAGTAAGTCTAGAAGCCAACTTTCCACTTTTTGCCTCCTTGTGTTGCGTCCTGCTTTTCTCCTCTGGCGTTTTCCGCTGATTCCCAGGTCACTGGTGTGCTCCTTCTTGGGCAGCAGCCAACATAACCCGGGGGGGGCACTGTACCAGTTTCCATCTCCCTTATCACACTCCTTCCCATCCATTCTCTTTGGTCGTTATAGCAGCTTCGACAGCCCTCAGGGGTCCACGGCACAGTAGATCATTTCCCCTCCCCCTCCCTCCTCCCCAACCCCCTAATCCAATCTTCGCAGATCGTGATAGCAGCCTACACAGCCTCCCGGAGAGCCAAGTCAGTGCCTCGAGGCTTCTGGGTGGCGCTGGTGGCGGTGGCTACTGGCACTGTCACTGCTCTGTCTCTCCTCGTCTGCCTGCAGGTGAGAAATACAGCCTCAGGCCTACTCTCAGGGTTGTTACGGTATTAAGAGAGTGATTAGCAAGGCTTCTGGGTGGCGCTGGTGGCGGTGACGCTGGCCACTGGCACGGTGACCGTATTGTCGCTCCTCGTCAGCTTTCAGGTGACATGGGATGATGAGCTGGGGGGTTGTGGGTGGCGCTGATGACAGCATCGGCTGTAACTGGTGGCGGTGGCTACTGGCACTGCCACTGCGCTGCCTCTGCTCGTCAGCCTGCAGGTGAGAACAGGTCTAGACCTTGGGGTATTGTGAGATGGGTTGAGAGTTTTGGTTGTGGGTGGGACTGGTGGCAGTGGCTATTGGCACGGTCACTGCACTGTCGCTCCTCGTCAGCTTGCAGGTGAGAGGAGCAGCCCAAGGCCATCTGCCAAGGTTATTGGGGTGTTAAGTCAAGCAAGGGATGAGCCAAGCTTCTGGGTGGCGCTGGTGGCAGTGGTTACTGGCACTGTAGCTGTGCTGTTGCTCCTCGTCAGCTTACAGGCCATACCTGCTTCAATCACACCGTCAAGGGTTTTGGGAGGTTTCAGTTGATGGCTGGACTGGGATACTGCAGTGCACCACCATCCTTTTCATGATTTGTTTTTTTTTGCCTTATTTTTCTCACTCAGGTGGTTTGCTTGCGGCCGCAGTTCAAGATTCCCATCGCGGCAATGTGGTGGGCAGCAGCATTCCCGCACCTCACCACGCAGTACCGCACCGTACCTCACGCCACCACGCCCATTCCCCCCCTTCTTCTCAGGTGGTTCGGCTGCGGCCGCGGTTTGTGATTCCCATCGGGGGCATCGTGGTGGGCAGCAGCATGACCATTGCTGCCAACACCATGCAGCGACTCGCCGACGACTTCCAACAGAGGAGGGGGCAGGTGGGTTTTGAGTGAGCAGCTGTAAGCAGAAAAAAAACAAAAACAAAAAAAGGAGGAGCAGCTGCCATTGCCATGCAGTGACTTGATGACAACCTTATGCAGAGGAGCAGACAGATGATGAAGCTCACCAACAGAGAGATGCGGTGACTGTTGAGTCGACTCAAAAGCAGACAGATGATGAAGCTCAGCAAGAGAGAGATGAGGTGACTTTTGAGTCGACTCAAAAGCAGACAGATGATGAAGCTCACCAACAGAGAGATGCGGTGACTTTTGAGTCGAATCAAAAGCAGACAGATGATGAAGCTCACCAAGCGAGAGATGCGGTGACTTTTGAGTCGACTCAAAAGCAGACAGATGATGAAGCTCACCAACAGAGAGATGCGGTGACTTTTGAGTCGACTCAAAAGCAGACAGATGATGAAGCTCACCAACAGAGAGATGCGGTGACTTTTGAGTCAACTCAAAAGCAGACAGATGATGAAGCTCACCAACAGAGAGATGCGGTGACTTTTGAGTCAACTCAAAAGCAGACAGATGATGAAGCTCACCAACAGAGAGATGCGGTGACTGTTGAGTCAACTCAAAAGCAGACAGATGATGAAGCTCACCAACAGAGAGATGCGGTGACTGTTGAGTCAACTCAAAAGCAGACAGATGATGAAGCTCACCAACAGAGAGATGCGGTGACTGTTGAGTCAACTCAAAAGCAGACAGATGATGAAGCTCACCAACAGAGAGATGCGGTGACTGTTGAGTCAACTCAAAAGCAGACAGATGATGAAGCTCACCAACAGAGAGATGCGGTGACTGTTGAGTCAACTCAAAAGCAGACAGATGATGAAGCTCACCAACAGAGAGATGCGGTGACTGTTGAGTCAACTCAAAAGCAGACAGATGATGAAGCTCACCAACAGAGAGATGCGGTGACTGTTGAGTCAACTCAAAAGCAGACAGATGATGAAGCTCACCAACAGAGAGATGCGGTGACTGTTGAGTCAACTCAAAAGCAGACAGATGATGAAGCTCACCAACAGAGAGATGCGGTGACTGTTGAGTCAACTCAAAAGCAGACAGATGATGAAGCTCACCAACAGTTAGATGCATATTAACTAGCTTCACAAGAGTGACTCTTCACAAGAGTGACTCTTCACAAGAGTGACTCTTCACAAGAGTGACTCTTCACAAGAGTCTTGCATAGCAAACAGGGTTGGGAGAATGAGCAAGAGGGATGGAAGGAACAACATGGCATGCCAGAGTCCCTGTACGAGGCACACCCTTACTTACTGCTGTATCAGCAGTCCCCTCACTCCACACATGCTTTCTCAAAACGCCTTACTGCTATGCCAGGCTACAACGCACAGCCTTATTGCTATGCCTGAGCCCCTCATTCCCCCTCCACCTTCGATTCGGCGTGAAGCATGTCTTGGGTTCTCATGCACAGCATGCCAGTGTGGGGCATTTCTGCCCAATGCTGTTCTGTGCAGCACCCTCCGTTACTGCAAAATTCCCCTTACTTACTCCTCCACCTCCGGTTCAGCTTGAACCGCAACTTCACACGCCGCTTTGCATCGCATTCGTACGCCCCTCCATTTTGCACCCACCACCATACGCCATCCCCACTCCTTCCCACCCATTCCCATTGCCTGCCCCTTTCTCCAACCCCATTCTCTCCCATCTCCCATCTCCCATCTCCCATTCATCACGAACCACCTTGATGCTCCTCTCTTTCCAGCCTCTCTGCTCCTCTTTTTCCAGCCTCTCTGCTCCTCTTTTTCACCATCAACTCCTCTTCTCACGCCACCCTCACTCCTTCCCATCCATTCCCATCGCCTGCCCCTTTCTCCAACCCCGTTCTCTCCCATTTCCAATTCAACACGAAGCACCATGATGCTCCTCCCTTCCCAGCCTCACTCGTTCCTTTTTCACCATCAACTCCTCTTCTCACGACACCCCACTCCTTCCCAACCATTCCCACAACCTGCCCTTTTCTCCTCCCCCATTCTCTCCCATTTCCAATTCAACACGAACCACCTATGATACTCCTCTCTTTCCAGCCTCTCTGGTCCCCTTTTTCACAGTCAACTCCTCTTCTCTTCTCACGCCATCCTTTCCCCCCTATCCAATTTCCCTAATTCCCTCCACCCCTTACCCCTCCCCTTCCTTTCCCTTCCCTGTCAGCTAGAGGCAGCACTAGCCCTGGGCGCTAGCCAATGGGAGGCCTCCCTTCCCCTCATCAAACGAGCAGTAGCTGTGGGTTTCGGCCCTACAATAGACTATACCAAGACAGTGGGGATAATTCAGCTCCCAGGCTCCATGACTGGCATGATCATGGGGGGGGCTTCCCCCCAGGAAGCAGTCAATCTCCAGATTACCATTACGTTTCTTTTGTTGGGGGCGCTTTCGCTGTCGTGTATTGTGTCGGCTCTTTTAGCCGCCCCCCAGTTTTTTCATAGCCATGCACAGCTGTTAGAAACTTGGTGAGACTTTAATTGGGTTAGAATCTTACGGATTCTGATTAAGGTCTAAAGTGTTCTTGGTGAACCACACACTGCATTTTGCGACCACATAGCAGGAACTAATAACCTAGTAGACTTATCTTTTCCTGTACAGTGATCGAGGTTTATACCCAATCACGATCTAGCGGGTTCAGTGGCTGAACGGATAATGTTTGACCGACTGCTGGCGTAATCAGAGCCCTCTGATTGGTTCGCGAAGGTACGCTTTCGTAACCAATCAAGAATCAAGATCCTCCCCACCACAGAAGCTTGCAGTGCCTCCTGCACCAAGAGTTCTCCAGGGCAGCATTTGTGGTGTGGTGAGGTGAGTGATTGTTTTACAGAGTTGGCAAGTTTTATGGGCGAGGATGGTTTAGAAGGGGTTGAGAGGGGTTAGCATGGAATGGGGGGGCTGTTGCAATAAGACTAAGAATCCGTTAACCCACATCCTTTCTCATATTCTAATCCATTGTTCCATGGCGCACGATAAGAGAATCTTTAGGCAACTAAAGCTTCTTTCCAAGCTCCGTGTCTTCAGATAAGCACGAAAAAACTCTTCCTTTTCTTCGTCCTCAGTATAACGCAACTCCATTCTCTGTGACACGAAGCCAGGAACGCGCTGAAGCCCACGTGTCGTTTCTGTGATCGGACAGCGTCCCGAGGATTCGAGGTTCGCACAAAGCCGTCTCGCGAGTCCCAACGTGTTCGCAACTGCTTAGAAAACCACCACAAAGGCACGACGCAATCGGATTGCGAGCATGTGACTCGTACGTTTGCAGTCGCACGGCAGCCGCAGCGGAGTCGCGTCGCACGGCAGTCGCACGTCAGTCTTATTTCTCCTCAAAATTGCCGTCAATGCGACACGTATACCGACCGGACCCGCACTAGTAGCCGTTTCGCCATTGCTCGCAGCTAGAAATGAAAGGATTGGCTGTTACGCATTCGGCAGCTACTAACGCAGTGGCTACGAACGCAAAAATTACTACGAGCATTGCACGGAGGCCAAGGAGAATGCTCGCAACTTCCGCTGTAGCACTAACGGCTGCGAATTGTACAGCAGCAACTCGGTCAGCAGCTTCGTCAGCAATTTCGCCAGCGAATTCGCCAGCAAAAACCGTATATGCTGAATCCTCCAGCCAATTTTATCACCCTCGTTATCAGCCGAGCCCGCGAGGTTTCCGTGATCGGTGTAGTTCGTTAAGAGTATCAGCGGGTGGTGCAATGGCATTGGCATCGGCGTTCAGCGTTGAATTGCGCGTGAGGCGGTCAAATCTCGTTAGATCTGCTGCGTGTATCCCCGGGAATGTCGGCACCGCGAATAACGCCGCGAATGATGCCGCGAAGAGTGACGGCGCTGCTGACGTCATGACAACGACTAGCAGAGACCACAATGCGTCGTCGTGGGAAGGCTCTGAAGCGGTGGGGTTTGATTGCCCACATTCTAGTATGGCGGGTGAAAAATTCTTGGAGGTTGAAGCCACGAAGGTTGATGCTTTGGCGGCTGAGACGAATGCAGCCGTGGCAGCGTTGAGAACGGAGCAGCAGCGCTTAGAAGGTAGAAGATATGAAGCTGGGAGACACTTAGCTAAAAGTTTGGGGGTTGAGCGATACTTCATTAGAAGACTGGGAATTGGACGATTGTGCACTACAAATAGCAGTACAGTACAAAAAGATACCTTTCTTACAAGCAATACACTCCAAGAAAGTGTCACCCAAACCAGTTCAGGAGAGCAAAGCGGCATGTGGGGTCACAGTTCCGTGGGAGCACTAGAGTCGACCCTAAAATCAAATCAAATCGGATTATGGGGGTACAGTTCCGTGGGACATGAGCGGCAGATTACAATGATAGTGATGTTTCTAGTGGCGCTTTCCATCTGCCTCTGGATCGACGTTAACACTGCAGCGGACTTGCTTGTAGGGGGAATAAGGGCGGCTGCGCAGCTCTCAGCCGTTGGATTCGGGATCAAGTACATCGTTGCCATTGAAAGCGGGAAGGTGGCTTATTGTGGAGTCGCTATCATGGTGAGTGTCTGGGGCACTCGTGGTGAGTGTCTGGGGCACTCATGGTGAGTGTCTGGGCCGCTCATATTGAGTGTTTTATCCTTCTACTCCCATGATCTGCCGTGCTCTCGCTCCTTGCTCTCCTCGCACCTCTGCTCTCCCCGCCCTGCTCTCCTTTCCTTCACCGCTCAGACTCTCCTTCTGACAAATGCTGATAGCACCCTGCCTTGAAATGATAACATGAGAAATGGCCGCTTCAAATAGATAACATTCATCGTCCTTCTCCCTGCCTGCTGAACCCATCTGAACCCATTGTAGCCCTTTGTAACCCATGTGTATCCCACAGGTGCTGAAGCACGTTGATACTGCCTTGCCTTCAAATGATCAGATGAGAAATGGCCGCCTGAAACAGATAGCATTCATCGTCCTTCTCCCTGCCTGCTCCTCTGAATGCATCTGAAAACATCTGAACCCATCTGAACCCAATCGTAAATCATTGAACCCATTGTAACCCATCTGCCAGCAGCACACAGGAGAGTCAATTGTGTGGCAGTCTGTGTGAGATGTTGAGGCAGCTTTTACATCCTGCCTTTGCTGATGAATCCATCTGAACCCATCTGAACCTCTCCAACTTTCAGGTGCTGGCAGCAGCACACACTTCATCTATGAGAGCCAGGATGGTGGCTGGGGGATTCTGGGTGGCTCTCTGGGCAATCGGAAGCGCTGGCACACTCTCATTCTTTCCTTCTGCTGAACCCATCCGAACTTATTTGAACCCCTCTCAACTGCGCTAACTTTCAGGTGGTGGCAGCAGCACACACTGCATCTAGGAGAGCCAGGAGTTTGGCAGGGGGTTTCTGGGTGGCTCTGCTGGCAATAGGAGCTGCCGTCACACTCGCATTCTCGCTGCTTGCGGCCTTGCAGGTATGTCTGCCATTGATAGGGTAAGAGAATGTTTGGGGAATTTTGGGGGACTGGGATGATTTACTGGGTTGGGGGTTTCTGGGTGGCGCTGCTGGCAATAGGAGCTGCCGTCACACTCGCCTTCTCCCTTCTTGCGTGCTTACAGGTATGTCTGCTATAGATAGGGTAAGAGAATGTCTGGGGAATGTTGGGGGACTGGGATGTTTTACTGGGTTGGGGGTTTCTGGGTGGCGCTGCTGGCAATAGGAGCTGCCGTCACACTCGCATTCTCGCTGCGTGCGGGCTTGCAGGTATGTGTGCGCACTGCGCAGTTGAGATTATGCTCTGACTATGGGTGAGGCCTTCTGGGGTGGGTGGCGACTTTTGAGTCGACTCAAAAGTCATTCTCGCTGCGTGCGGGCTTGCAGGTATGTGTGCGCACTGTGTGGTTAAGATTGTGCTCTGACTATGGATGAGGCTTTCTGGGGTGGGTGGCGCTGCTGGCAGTTTGAGATGCTGTCCAATGGCTGAGTGGTTTGATACAGTTCATTTCATCAACTTGTGTGTTCCTAAACTACGCCTGTGACTCAAACGGTGTGTCTCATTGCGACTGAGAATTCCCATTACTTGTGTAGTCTTAAGGTGCATTGATGACGTGAATCTCGAAACCATCCCCCATTCCCCATGTGTGTGCATGGGAATGGT